CACAGGGGGGCTCAAGGGGGTTCAGGGAGTGGCACAGGGGGCTCAGGAGTTGGCACAGGGGGCTCAGGGGTCTCAGGTGCCCTGTCACCTGTGCCCAGGTAAGGAGGTGGCACAGGGAGTGGCACAGGGGGTGGCCCAGGGGGCTCAGGGGTCTCAGGTGCCATCTCACCTGTGCCCAGGTAAGGAGGTGGCCCTCAGGGACCGGGACTACGGCTCAGCCTCCCTGGCCCAGGTCCGGGCCCTGCTCCGCAAACACGAGGCCTTCGAGTCCGACCTGGCGGCGCATCAGGACCGGGTGGAGCAGATCGCGGCCATCGCCCAGGAGCTCAAGTATGGGAGACCCCAAAACCCCCCAAAATAACCCCAAAATATCCCCAAATCACCCCTCGAGCAGATCGTGGCCATCCCCCAATAACTGAAGTATGGGAGACCCCAAAACCCCCCAAAATAACCCCAAAATATCCCCATATCACCCTCCGAGCAGATCACAGCCATCTCCCAACAACTGAACTCTGATAACCCCAAACCAGCCCCAAATAATCCCAAAATGACCCCAAATCCCCCCCGTCCCCCCAGCGAGCTGGATTACTACGACTCCCCGAGCGTGAATTCCCGGTGCCAGCGGATCTGCGACCAGTGGGACCTGCTGGGCTCCCTCACCCACAGCCGCCGGGACGCCCTGGAGGTGAGGGGGGAACCCCCTGGATGGGAGGGACCCCCGGAGGGATCCCAACCCCGATCCCAACCCCGATCCCAACCCCGATCCCAGAAAACGGAGAAGCAGCTGGAGACGATCGACGAGCTGCACCTGGAGTACGCCAAGCGCGCGGCGCCCTTCAACAACTGGATGGAGAGCGCCATGGAGGACCTGCAGGACATGTTCATCGTCCACACCATCGAGGAGATCCAGGTGGGAACCCCGGAATTCCGTGGGAGTGGCCGGAGTCTCCCACAGGCACAGCCCGGAACGCCTCAAAGATGGACAAAATGGCCCCAGAATGGCCAAAGGGGCCCCCAAAAATGGCCCTTTCCGAGTGTTTTCAGGCTTGGGGAGAGCTGGGTGGGAACCCGGGAATTCCGTGGGAACGGATGGAGTCTCCTGCAGGAATGGCCCCAGAAATGCCCTTCCTGGGGCCGGGGTCCATCTCAGCCCGGGTCCATCCCGATCCCAGCTCCATCCCCATCCCAGACTGGGTCCGTTGGAGGGCTGGCCCAGTGCCGGCTCCGTGTCCATGGTGGTTCCCGGTGCTGATCCTGGTTCTGGGTGCTGATCCCGGTTCCAGGTGCTGATTCCACCCTGGTTCCCGGTGCTGATCCCAGTTCTGGGTGCTGATCCCAGTTCTGGGTGCTGATGCCGCCCTGGTTCCCGGTGCTGATCCCACTGTTCCCGGGTCCATGTCCGTGGTGGTTCCTGCTGCCGATCCCACCCTGGTTCCCGGTGCTGATCCTGGTTCTGGGTGCTGATCCTGGTTCTGGGTGCTGATCCTGGTTCTGGGTGCTGATCCTGGTTCCCGGTGCTAATCCTGGTTCTGGGTGCTGATCCCGGTTCCTGGTGCTAATCCTGGTTCTGGGTGCTGATCCTGGTTCCCGGTGCTGATCCTGGTTCTGGGTGCTGATCCCGGTTCCTGGTGCTGATCCTGGTTCCCGGTGCCGATCCCACCCTGGTTCCCGGTGCCGATCCTGGTTCCCGGTGCTGATCCCGCCGTTCCGGGTGTGTCCCAGGGCCTCATCGCCGCCCACGACCAGTTCAAGTCGACGCTGCCGGAGGCGGACAAGGAGCGGGAGGCGATCCTGGGCATCCAGCGGGAAGCGCAGCGGATCGCGGAGCTGCACGGGATTCAACTGCCCGCCGGGAACCCCTACACCTCCGTCACCCCCCAGCTCATCAACTCCAAGTGGGAGCGGGTGCGGACACCGGGATGGGCCCGCGGGGAGTCCCACACCCCTCCCGCCCTCAGCCGGCCCCGGATCTGCTCCTGAATCCCTCAGTTCCTAAATCTGCTCCTGGATCCGCTCCTGAATCCCTCCATTCCCAAATCTGTTCCTGGATCCATTCCTGAATCCCTCCATTCCCAAATCTGCTCCTGGATCCGCTCCTGAATCCCTCCATTCCTAAATCTGCTCCTGAATCCCTCCATTCCCAAATCTGCTCCTG